AACTAACAGGACATTTTTTTTCCTTTTAAAGGTTTATTAAAGAAATGTTCATTTCAATCCATTATGGGGTATTTTAAAAGTTAATCTCCCATTGCATTCCTGTCAAATTGAGTCTCATAGCTACCATCCTTTGGGTCCTTGAAGCTGTAAATCTTTCAGAAGGAGAATGGACGTCTAATCTCCCTCACATCAGCTGATATATTCAAGCCACCAAGCTTAGGGTAAGCATCCTAATGTGTCGCATGTAGGACCTCATATCCCAATTTTTTCTGGATTTACCATTGGCAAACTATTTGCAATGCTTCTCCTTGGCCTAGTGGAGATACCAGGCCTTTTCATGGCAAACAGTCCTGTGAGCCTGGACCTGGCTCTGTATTCCCCTTGTAGCATCGTGGCCAGGCTCCATTCTTTACAACGTAGCTCTTTACACGGAGGTAGGAAAAGGCATAACTCGAAAATTCCGAGCTAAAACCTAGCACTGCTACTTCCTCTTTGTGTGGAGTCATCTGATACCCGCCCCCCCCCCTTTGGTTTCAATCTCTTTATAGCATCCACTTCCTAAACAACATGCTTCTGGAAACTCTATGAACTTTGATCAATGTCGATAGTTGTAGAGGGGCTTCAGGCCTTTTGTTCATAGGGTTACTGTGAGTCATGCTTGACTCGACAGCAATCAACAACAACAACAAGGGGAGAGAAAGTCCCCAGCTCTGAGCCAAGCTGAGGTATTTTCAGTTGATTCATATGAAAGTTATACAATGAATAAAGACTGAAGAATTGATGCTGTTGAATTGTGGTGCTGGCAAAGAATATTGCATATACCATGAACTGCTGAAAAAACAAGTACATATTAGACAACGTGCAGTCAGCCTGCCACATAGAGGCAAGAATGGTGAAACCTCATCTTAACATACTTTGGGCATGTCGGGACGTGCCAGTCCTTTGTATGCAGCATCAGGCTTAGAAAGATGGGATAAATAATGTACACTGCAGTGAAACAGATGAGGGAGAAAACTGTTTAAAAGGGATATGTGGATTAGGTATTATTGTCATGACAGGAGTCCAGAACGAAGGCTGCATAGTGGAGTGGACCTGGGGGGAGGGATTGCAAAACAATGGAAGAATTTTTCTTTTACTTTTCAAAGAGTGTACTGGGGGGTGGAGGGGGCAGGGAGAAAAGTACAACAATGAATGAATGGAAAGCCAAAATGTACAAATTTTCATTAAAATGAATAAAAAATGATTTAAAAATAACGAATGGAAATGATCGTATGAAACACAATGTGAAGGAAGTATAGTGTGAAACACAATTTGAATGAACTTTGTAAGCAAACGAATATAAAATAAAAATTTTAAAAATGAAAAAAGAAAGGAAGCAGGTACAAGGCCAGAGGACACCCAGCTGAGGCTTGTCAGTGCTTAGGAAAGCACATGTATGTGAGGGCTCTGGGAAGCAAGAGGAGGAAGATGCTCCTGCCAGCACGGGAAGCAGAAACACGTTCATATAACTGCTTGGGTGAGGGGGATTCTGAGTGGGCCTGGAGACATCAGAGCCCCCAGTGCCTCCATCTGCTGTGGAGAGGAGAGAGGCAACCCTCAACCCTCTCACTAAGCAAACATTTGCTCAGTGCCTACTGTGAACCAGCACTGGGCATCATGGGTCAAGGCGGATGCAGAGATGTGGCTGGCTGTCAAGATCTGAGCCAGGGCAGGAAGCTCTCAGATGCATTTCTCATGGCCCAAGGCTGTGTCTTCACTCCACAAACATACACTGATAATGATGATAATATGATAATGATGCTGGTAGCAAGACAGCACAATGATCCTCTCCTCCTGGTATTCATGTCCTTCGCTGGTCACTGTGGGAGGGACCAACTTGAATAGAATTGACCCTGCAGAATAGATTATTGCAAGATGACAGCATGCGATTTATGAGATCTTCAAAAAGGTCATTGTGGCTGCTTGCTGCCTTGGATCGTGCGTTTTGGTAGAAACCAGCTACTGGGGAATGAGGACATTCAAGCTGGAGAGGCTCACGAGGAACAAAGGTCTCCTGCCAGCAGCCATGTAGATGATCTGGGGTGTAGATCCCCAGCCTCAGTCAAGCTTTCTTCCATCCGCAGCCTGGCCAACATCTTGACTGCAATGAAGGGGCAGACCCTAAGACAATCAGCCCACTCGACCAAATTTCTGACCCACAGAAACTGTGAGTTCATACACACTTGATGCTTTGTTGTTGTGTACCATAGAGTTGGAACTCATAGCTGGCCCTCCAGCAGGTTTTCAGAGGCAGTTAATTACATGGGAGGAGATTGCCCAGCCTTCTTCTACGGAACAGCTGGTAGCCTTGAACCACATGCCTTTGGGATTGCAGTGCAGCTTCTTGCCACTGGGCCAAGGTGTCACATTAGAATCATTTGCTACCTACAAATTAGTAAAATGATATCCGCTGTGACCTATCACCGCCCAAGACTCTGCCCAGCTCACAGTGTCTAATTCAGGCTGCCATCTGCTGATCTGAATTCTCACAAGAGCACCTCCCTGGTCTCCCTGCTTTCTGTCTCAAGCCCCTACTTCTTCTCTACCCAGATAAAAGGCCAGTTTGTCAAAAAAGTGTTCAGGAGCAGCAGACCATCATTTTTACTTTCCTGAAGGCATCTACAATGAGGCAGGACGAGTGCCATAGTGGAGTTTCTGGCATTCCTATGCTGATTTGGAGTCAGGATAGAGAGCAAAGCCTTGGTTTGTTCTGGCCCAGGTCCACCTGGGGAGGGTGGAAGGGACACCAAGGCAGCTAGGGCAGAGACAAGGCAGCAGCTTTGTTTTAAAGGCCACTCTGGCAGGATACCCCATGCAGATCCAGCCTCCCAGAGGTGACATGTTATCCTGGAGACTTCCCACTAAGGAAGACCAGAGCTTAGAGGTACAAAGGGACTTACCTGAAGCAACAGAGCTGTGCAAGGTGAAACCTAGGGGACAGTGAGCTTTCAATGAGGAGATGCCCTTAACCTGGAACCCACTAAGTTCTTCCCGCTGGTTACTCCTGTAATCCTTCCTCTCAGGGACACTGAGGAGCCAGGAGAGATCTGCTGAGGTCACCCTGGGAATAAAGGGCAGGCTCGGGGGAGGACACAAACCTAAGCTCTCTGCCTTCCAATCCCATGTTCCCTGTGTCCACTCTGGGAAGAATGGACAGGACGGACTTTAGCTGTGACCTTGGGGGAAGTCACCCCAATGCCTGATGGTCCCTGCCGAGGCACAGCTCCAGGTCCTTCAGCCCCACCCCAAACCACCGTGGGCTGGCTTGGCCCTGTGAGGGGCTCATTCATCCCCAAGCAGTTCAGGAGAGCCAAGAACAGGCACGAAGGTGGTGCCAAGCTGCTCTTGAGCCATAGTGTGGGGCCTTTTCATAGGGAAGGGTCTTGAGTCACCAGGGAGGCTCTTCCCACCCATTGCTGTCTGGCCAAACCTCAGAGAGGAGCTGGAAGTGCCCAGGCTACTTAGGGATAAGACTGGCTCACGGCATTTCTGAGTCACAGGGAGGGTGGGTAGCAGATGACTCAACTCAGACCCTACTTCCCCTCCCACAGGGCTAGGCTGGAGGAGGGTAGGGCCAGGAACCCTTTAGCCTGTCCTCCCAGGGCAGGTACCCCCAAACCCCTGGCTGCCCTTCTCCCAGACTTGGATTGACTTTCCACGCACTTCTGCCTGGCACTGGCCAGCACAGCAGTCCACAGGGAATCAATTAGATGATGAGATGAGTGAAGCCCCAGATCTGAGAGCTTCAAGACCCCTGTGTCAGCCTTCTCTAGCCCCCTGGATTCATACAGAAAGGGAGAGCATCCCTATTTTCCAGATGGACCTGGAAAGTTAGCGAAGGTGGAATGACTAGCCCAAGAGAAGAATAGAACTAGCAATGCATCCCCTCCTGGCCCCACCCAATGGGCATTTGTTCTATCCTCCCTGGGACGGGGGGTAGGGGGAGTACCAGCCCCATTTTACCGAGGCTCAGAGGGGCATCTGCACACTCAGTCAGTTAGTCTGGCAAAGTAGAACTGATCCAAGTTCTTCCTGTGCCAGGCTGGGTCCTTGTCATTCATTCTTAACATTCATTCCTGGAGGGAACGAAGCGGCCAGAGCTGAGAGGGAAGGTGGGCAAAGATGAAGCTTGCCTTCTGGTCAAGGAGCTGGGCTAGTCTGGGAATTGGCACTCCTGTGACTTCATCCCTGTGGCGGCCTGTTTCCCCTGAAGGCCCCTGGGCCAGCCCCCAGCCCCTGTTCCTGCATGATGGCAATGAGTCCCCTTGAAGGGGGGGTACTTAGAGAGAACCGGAGATACCAGTTGGTGGTATCTTAGAAAGAACCGGGTACAGGCGGGGCCTGAGCAGATGATATATGAGGGAGGATGTCCTCATTGCTGCACGACTGGGTCAGCCCATGGCGATCCCCGGCCCCTTAGCTATAACCCCGAGGAATGAGAGATGTACAAGCAAAAATAGTTTATTTGAGGACGGAAGACCCAAAATTGGAAGGGGAAGGCCAGGACGAGGCCACAGCAGCTGCCTGGAGTTGGCACAGATGATTCCACTTTGTTGAGGGAGAACCCAGGGCCCAAGAAGGCTGTGCCAGGGCCCCCAGCTAGCTCCCCTACCAGGGAGGGATTGCGCAACCGCCGAGAATCCTCGTCATGGTCGTCGTCATAACATGTTGAGGTTTCCAAGACCGGCCAGCAATGCCCCACGTAGCAGCTGATGCTCATCATAACAATGTCTCTGACAAGCCCAGTGACCGTACAGGGTGCGGGCACACCATCCAGTGGTGAGTGGGACTGTGAATGGGCGCAGGAGCCGGGCCTCTATGGAGGTCCAGTGCCAGCCCCCAAGGCTTCCTTTCCAGGTGCCCCACCCTTCCAGCCCCATTGGTTGCAGCTGTCCCCTTTCCCCTGCAGCCACCAGCCAAGGCCAGAGCCAGGCGAGCTCTGTCACAAGTCACTAGGAGCTCCCCGTGTCTCAAAGACCCTTGCCAGGCTGGTCCCTCTTCCACAGCCCCCGGCGGGCAGCCCAGGCGGCCACAACCTCACAGTGATGGTAGAGGAACATTCCAGAAAGGGTGAGGGCAATGCCCACGTAGCCGGGGGTGCTGAGGTGGCTCCCAAACAGGAGCCGGGACAGGACGAGGTTGCCCACGACGGTGAGGTTGCCCAGGACGTGGACGGTGAGGGCAGAGGTGAGGGCCAGCAGCGAGAAGCTGGCCAGATTGTAGAGCACGGACAGGAAGCAGCTGAGCAGGACGCAGGCCCAGAGGCGGGAGTCCGCGGGAGCGGGCGGCGGGGCCACGCCGGTCTCCAGCACCAGGGCCGCCCCCGCCAGCAGGCAGAAGCTGGGCAGCGAGGTGGCGTACAGCAGGGTCACAGCATCCAGCTTCTCCTCCTGCAGCAGGGCACCTGCAATGAGGACAGCAGGCGTCAGCACACAGCAGGGGAGACAGACCCCCGGCAGAGGTGGTGGCTCCACACTGCAGGAAGCCCAACCTTCCTGCTCTCCATTGGGACATTCAAGCAGCTGCTCCTTGACCTGCTCTTTTATCTTCTGTGGGCTTCAGTTAGTGATCTGGGCTTTTAAAAAGCCTTTGTGGGTTTGGGTTTCCGTGCCTACACACCTGAGAAATAATAAATTGTGTCAGACTAGAGACTAAGGTGCGCCTGATCCAGGTCATAGTCTTTGCAATTACTTGCTATGCATCAGAGAGCTGGACAATAACTATGGGTGACAGAAGAAGAATCAATGCCTTTGAGTTATGATGCTGGAGAACAGTATTGAACATACCAAGGACTGCTAAGAGAACAGGTTCTGGAGAGGATGAAACCAAGTGGCTGCTTGGAGGCAAGGATTGTGAAGCTCTGTCTGACATACTTTGGGCATGTGGCCAGGAGGGACCAGTCCTTGGAGAGGGACGTCATGCTTGGAAGGGTGGAGGGACAGCACATGAAAGGAAGACCTTCGATGAGATGAACTGACTCAGTGACTGGGGTAATGGAGCAGGTGTGTCAGAGATGGTGATACTGGCTCAGGGTAGGGCAGGGTTCAGCGCTATTGTGCATAGGATCACTAATGAGTGGCAGGCAACTCCAGGGCACATAACAACAACAACAACACCTCCTCGGGGCAGTGAGCTTCTCCTAAGTGAGGAGCACCTCAGACAAGGAGGCCAGAATGTCTGCACAACTCTACGAATATCATCAACATCCCTGAACCAGTATATGTTTTGCTGCGTCAACACAGATGAAAATTTAGAGGAGAAGCAGCCTACTAATGCCAGGCGTTGTGAGAAGCCTTAAGAGAGTCTTCTTGGATGTCATTTTTATGGAAACAAATCACCTGTGCTTTCACTGCTCGAACCACCAGTCTTTAGGTATAAATTGAGCACCACCAGTTTGCATCACTTAAAAACACAAAACAAAACAAAAACACAAGCTAATCGCCACTGAGTCAGCATCAACTCATAACTGACCTAGCAGGTTTTTCAGAGGCTGTAAATTGCACAAGAAGAGACCTCTCATTTTTCTTCCTTGGAGCAGCCGGTGGATTTAAACTGCCAAGCTTTGGCCGGCAGCATAAATCCCTACCCACTAGGCCACCAGAACTCTATTTGCATCACTCCAGGTCCTATTTCATGCAGGTATCATGATCCAGACAGCCCTGTCAGGCCCCAGGTAAGGCCCACACCTGGTGTGTCAAAACAGGGAGTCAGCTGACCCCCCCAAAGGCCCTGTTGTCTGTTGCATCAGTTGATACTTAGGGCAAGAACCTATTGTCCAAAAAGAACAGAGGAACACTGTTATTGTTGCTGTTAGGTGCAGTCAAGTCAAGCTCTATTCACAGTGACCCTATGAAAAAAGATCTGAACCCTGCTCTATCCTGCGCCACCCTCACTCTTCCTCACACACAGGAGCCCATTGCAGCAGTCACCGTGTCAATCCACCTAGTGAAGAGTCTTCCTCTCCTTTTCCAAGGCTCCACCCTTCCCAGCATCATGTCCTTCTCCAAGGAATAGCACTTCCTAGCAACATGCCCAGAGTATGTGAGGTAAAGCCTCATCATTCTTGCCTTCAAAGAGCACTCCAACTGCACCCTCTCCAAGACACATCTGTTCGTTCTCTTGGCTGACCATGGATGTTCAATGCTCTTCTCCAACATCACAGCTCAAAGACGTCAATTCTTTTTTCTGTCATCCTTATTCATTGTCCAGATCTCAGATGCATAGCTGGTAATCAGAAGGACTATGGCCTGAATCACATGCACCTTAGTCCTCAAACTGACATCATTACTCCCTAATAATTTGGAGAGATTCCTGCCTGCAGATTTTCCCAGTGCAATGTGTCTCTTTATTTCCTGACTGCTGGTGTTAACTGTGGAACCAAGCAAGATGAAGCTGTTGATAATCTCAATCTCCTCTCCATCCATCATGACACTGCCTATTAGTCCAATGATAAGAATCTTTATTTTTCTGACATTAAGATGCAATCCATACTGAAGGTTCAAAATCAAGAAAGGTAAGTGTCAAAGCTGTATCCTTTCTCCATACCTATTTAATTTGTATTCTGAACAAGTAATTTGAGAAGCTGGACTTTATGAGGAAAAACATGGCTTCAGGATTGAAGGAAGATGCATTAACAACCTGTTACACAGATGGCACAACCTTGCTTGCTGAAAGTGAGGAGGACTTGATGTGCTTACTGTAGAAGATCAAAGACTACAGCCTACAATATGGATTACCTCTCAACATTAAGACAAAAATACTCACCAACCAGGCCAATCGGCAGCAGTATGATAGACGGAGAAAAGATTGAACTTGTCAACAATTTTATCTTACTTAGATCCGCAATCAATAGCCTTGGTACCAGCAACCAAGAAATCAAAACATGCATAGCAGACTGAAAGTTGGCCATCAGGGATCTCTTTGAAGACTAAAGTGCGCCTGATTCAGGCCATGATATTTTCAGTCACCACTGTGCATCTGAGAGCTGGACAATGAATGAGGATGAGAAGAATCTGTGTCTTTGAGTTGTGGTGTTGGAGAAGAGTGCTGACTATCTCATGCATTGCCAAAAGAACAGATAAGTCTTGAAGTAAGTATAACCCGAGTACTCCTCAGAGACAAGAATGGTGAAGCTTTATCTCACATACTTTGGGCATGTTGTTAGAAAATGTTATTCCCTGGAAAAGGGAGTTCTGGAGGTTTAGTGGTAACAAATTGCGCTGCCAACACAAGATACCCTGTGGTTTGAATCTACCAGCTACCCTGTTAGAGCAAGATGGGCAGTCTCCTGCCTCTGAAAACTCACTGGGTCAGCTATGGGTTGGTTCCCACTCACGAGTACACAACAACAACATTCCCTGGAAAAGGATATCATGCTTGGAGAAAGGTGGAGGGTTGATGAAAGAGAGAAAGACCCTCAATGCAATGGATTCACACAGTGACTGCAGCAATGGGCCCAAGTGCATCAGGGATGAGGATGGCACAGGATAGGGCAGGGTTCAGAGCTGTTGTTCAGAGGGTTGCTAAGAGTCATTGTCAACTCGACAATACCTAACAACAGCAATGTTGTTGTTGTTAGGTGCCAACAAGTCGAGTGCAACTCATAGTGACTCTATGAACAAAAGATCTGAACCCTGTTCCATCCCGCACCGTCCTCACACTTCCTGACACACAAGAGCCCAGTGCAGCCACTGTGTCAATGTCCCTGGTTGAGGGTCTTCCTCTAGCCAGGGCCTATTTATTTAAGGAAGTTCTGGTGGCTAAGTGGTAGAGTTGGCGCTGCTGCTCTACAGGACCAAGATGGGCAATCTTCTCCCATGTGATTTACAGCCTCTGAAAACCCACCAGAGGGTTAGCTATGAGCCACTTGACAGTAAACAACAACAAGGACCTGGTTAATAACAAAACAAAAATCCAACTCCAGCTCACGGCCACCTGTATCCAAGTGTTGCTAATGCCCACAAGATTTTCAATAAACTGAATTTTTGGAAGTTGATCACCAGGGCTTGCTTCCGTGGCACCTCTCCATGGCCTTAAACCTCCAACCGTTCAGATGGCACGAAGCCCATAACCACTTGTCCCACACAGCATTTAATAAGGAAAGTGTGCAGCAAATGTATTAACCAAGTAACTAAATCAATCAGCCTCTTATCACCTACTTCAAACAACCTCCTACAAACAGAAGCAATAACCTGCTTGCTGAATTTCCTCCTCCTGTTTAAAACCTGTGGATGCTACAAAGCCCTGGGGAAGAATGTTCTTGTTCACAGCCTTGCCCACCAACTAGTCCCTACCCACCCTTCTTTGTCTGACCTCTTGTCACACCCACCACACCCCAACAGGGCCAGGCCAACTGTGCCACTGAAAAAAAGAGTGTTTTAAAAATAAATTGTTGGAGCCAGAATGGTGGGTCCATCCATTTCTTGATATGTTGTGATCATTAGGAGGATAAGCAAACAAGAAAGTCTTCATCTGTGCTAGGCTCACTATTAGAACTATTATTATAAGGGAGCTCTGGTGGCCTAGTGGCAAGAAGCTGCACTACAATCCCAGAGGCTGCAGTTCAAATCCAGCAGATGCTCTGCTGGAGAAGGAGGGGCAATCTCCTCCTGTACAAGTCAGATCCAATTTGACGGTATAGGCACAAAATAATAAAATAAAATAAAATAAA